GTTCCACCCCCTCAAAGTCCTGCACATCGAGAAGAAGGTCTTTATCCAGGCTCGGCAGCATACAGAGGACCGCCAGATGAATACGATGACGTCGAAGGTGGGCGTCGCGATGAGCGCACAATGAACCACAGTCATGAACGTGAGGGACGATACTTTCGCTTCTCGTCAAAGCAGGACGGGTGACGCTCGGACGCGACAATGCATCGGCGACCATATTGGAAGTACCTTTGACGTGATGTAGCGTGAAATTAAACTGAGAGAAAAAGTCAGCATACGCGCCATTTTAGGCGTGACGTTTGGGTGGTGTAACATCCAACGGCACGCATTGTTGTCCGTATAGACATCAAATGACCGACCGTGTAAATAATGGCGCCATTTCGCGAGTGCTGTCTTGATCGCGAGTAATTCCTGTTCGTGTGCCGGCCACCCTTGTTCGTGAATACCAAACTTTTTCGAAAAAAACGCGATAGGATGGTCCTCGCCACCAGTAAGCTGTGACAAAACGCCACCCATGCATAATCCTGATGCATCCGTAGTAACGATGAAAGGAATAGAAAAGTCCGGTAGCTGAAGCACGGGAGCTTGTTGTAGCGCGACTTTTAATGATTGAAAAGCTTCATCTTGATCTTCTGACCACGCCCAAGGTACGTCCTTCTTGACCAGCTTGCTCAATGGAAGTGCCATCTTGGCAAAGTCACAAATAAAACGCCGATAATAACCAGCGAGACCTAAAAAGCTTAGCAGCTCCTTTCGCGAGGTTGGATGGGCCATGGTGGCGATTGCAGATGTCTTACGCTGATCCACGCTCAACCCATCTCGTGAAACCGTGTGACCTAAGAACTGCACACTGTCCCTTACAAAAGAGCACTTGCCGCGGTGAGCATACAGTTGTTCACGTCGCAGCACTTGAAATACCTGGCGTAGATGAATTTTGTGATCGGCATTTGTCTTGGAGAAGATGCATATGTCATCCAGATAGACCACAGCGAAGTCAAACTTATCAAACAATTCGCGCATAAGGCGTGACCATACACCGGGCATCCCTGCCAATCCCATCGGCGCGACACACCACTGGTATGTCTCCTTGTGCGTCCGAAATGCTGTGTACTGGCGACTGGAAGTGTTAACCAGCATCTGGTGGTAGCCTTGTGCTAAGTCAATAACCGTGAACACGGCGCACCCTGCCATCCTGTCAAATAGTTCCTCGATGTGAGGAAAAGGTATTTTAGGGATTTTGGTCTGGCTATTCACGTAACGATAATCAATGACCCAGCGAATCGGCTGTAAGCTGTTTCCCGATCGCAGCCACTCACCGCGTGTTGGAGCTTGGCCCGTAACATGGTCTTTTTTAGGAATACCGAATATGTTGGAAACCCATGGAGAATTTGACACTTCGACCCAGCCTTTCTTTAGGTTGTCGGCAACGAAGGAATTCAGTGCTTCTTGCTCGGTCTTTTGATAGACGAAACGGCGCTCTGGAACTTGGAATCGCATCTGGTTTCATTTCTACGTCAAACTGCACCGCACGTGGCGGTGGTAGTCCGTCGGGTAGCTTCGCTGGGAATATGTCGGTATATTCCTGTATAAGGTCACAAAGCCAATCCGGAACATTGTCGTCCACCAAATTAGAAGCGATCTTGACGACAAATAGCTCTGCGTAGTCGGACCTGCGCACGTATGATCTGTGCAGTTGACCACCTGATCTGGAAATCGTGCTGTCTGGGGTCAGCTCGGTCCGCTCTGTGCTATCCATATCACTGATGTGAGGCTGATTTGGAAGAAGCAGTTGACCCGATGTCCAATTAATTTGCGGTGCATATTCTTGAAACCACGGAAGACCAAAAATCACATCCTGCTCGGCATCCAGATGGGTTTCCGTGAAGATCATGTTTGAAAACTCGCCTTCATTAGTGCGTACTGTCGCTTCCACCGTCGCTAGATCAGCCGGTGGTGTAAGCGATCCATCAAACCGCTTTAATTGGCCGCGCTGCGAGCGGAGAACCTTAGTAGCCAGACCGGGTCGAATTACATTTGTTGATGCTCCACAGTCCAGCAAGATCAGTACTGGTACACCATCAATGGATCCAGTCTTTCGCAACAAATGAGGCCGATAATTGACCCCATTATTTTGTAAGGTGTTGACCGTAAATTGATCAAAAACAATGGCTTCGTCAGAAGATTCCGCTGTATCTTGAACATCTTCGATCATACTCACGCGCGCGCGCGGTCTCGAAACTGATCGGGTTCGTGGTCTTGTCGGGCACTCCGCGAGTCGATGCCCTGGCTTCTTACAATAGAAGCACAGATTGCGTTGGAAACACTCTTCTCGTGACACTACTTGCACGTTGTCAATCTCCATCGGCTCCGGTTGAGGATCGTCAAAGCGCTGATGAGTAGGTCTTTCTGGTCGACGAAATTGTTGAGTACGCCTTGAACTCCCCACGCCAAAATGTGAACGCTCAAAGTCGTAAGCAACGTTAATTGCCTGACTGAGAGACGAACAACGGCGATATTCCACTTCAGCACGGGTCTGATGCTTCAGGCCTTGCGTGAAGTAAAAGACGGAGTCGACATCACTCATGTTACGCACTTGAATCATCAGTTGTCGAAAGCGATTTACAAAGTCGCCAAGATCTCGACACTGCGCTTGATTGAGATTCCGCAGTTGGTCCCGAAGCCGGATCTGCAAGTCTGCGGGTACAAATTCTTGCTCAATGTGGAAAAATAATTCATCGACAGTGTTTATTCTGCTGCGTGACCAGACATACCAATCGGCAGCTGTGCCTGTAAGCATGCTCCCGATAGTCGGTATAATCGTGGCGGCCATTGTCGCACTCTTCCACTCCACTCGTCTCACTTCAAAATACTGTTGAACCTGTTCTTTGAATAATGCAAAGGACTCTTGCATTTGGCCACTGTAGCGAGGCGCCTTCACTGCGTCAAGTCGAAGATCCTTGAGCGTCGTCGCTTCGGCCATTTTACGCATCATATCTTGCTGCTGCGCTATCATGGCAAGCATGCTTTGCATGAGCTCCGCGTTTGAAGGCTCGCCCATGGCTTTGCGCTCGGTGCACTTGGGTCACTTAATCAGTCTGTGTCAGGAGCAAGTTCAGGCACGGAGTTCGTTGTTCGGAGTCGGGTCGCGAGGTTAAGATTTAGTCAGGCGAGGTCGGAGTAAAATCAGGGGAGTTCAGGTCGGGGTCAGAGGATAGTTCGCTGGACCAACAAGTGCTACCAGATGTAGTGTCCAAGTTAGTAAATCAAAAAGTAAGTTCATTAGGTCCTTAGTTCACCACTATGTGCTACTCTAAGCCTGCTGATTTCTGACTGATTTCTTTGCCTGATTTTTATGATGATGACATCGTTTACGTAAACAGATATCGTCCGTCGTGATCCGTTGCATCGAGCCTTACATCCGTCATGTTATCTATGCATGTCAAAATGGAGTGATTCGAGCCTTTTTACAAATGCGGAGAGTATTGCTTTCAGCAGCTCGAAAGCTCGAAACAGTGACGGGGGTGATCGAAAACGTGATCTCATGTATCCCTTATCGGCAATCGATACATCTGAATGATGTTCATGCTACTTTTTACCGGTCTCTTGCTTCTGCGACTCTGCTTGTACCGTGCCGAAGACCGAGGCCGATGCCTGTGAATGAGACGCAACTGGATTGTACAATTGGAAGAGGAAGTGCTGTTGCGGAACTCCAGCAGCTAGAGGAGGCATTCATCGACTTGCATCGTTCCTTTAGTCTTTGATATGGACAAGTCCCGGTAACGGGGTAACGGTGCGCGCACGTCTGTCTACGATGGAAACAAGACCAGAGAGCCTGGCGTCTTCGAGACAGTATGCTATGCACAACAGTCAGTCTGCCGGTCGCGGCGGCGGTGCCGATTGCAGCGTGCTGAACAATGTCCACGACAGAGGACATGCTAACACTGTCCATGATGAGAGGAGACGCCAAAGTCTCTGGTCACGAGCACTGGTTGGGTCGTGGGATGCGATACTGCACTCATAACAAACAAACATCCGGTCGCAATGCGCCGAGGAAAAACCAGATCTGCACAGTGTTTTTACTGTGCTTCTCACTTACACATGCAAGTTTCCACGCCATCTCGAAAGACCATAGCAGATCCCAACCTCACTGCGGTTGCACACACCCTTGGCGAGAGAGACGCACGTTTCATCGACCTGGCAGCGCATGGCACAGTCAGATACGTATTCACATGCTCTCGCTCACCCAGCTGCCCCCTCACAGATTTGCGCAGTAGTAGCCACTTCCCAGTATGTACGCAGTGCACGACACCTCAGTCCGAGCAAGCACGAGATACTACGCTCGAGTCCGCATGTGTTCATGCTTGAGTTCCGGCCTGCAACTCTTGTACCGGTCGGTTGGCTTTTACAAGCGGGTCAACAACGTTAAACCACTGCTCGAAAGACCAGTCGGCATCAGCCTGGAAGGGGACGCCGTTCAGTGTGTACATGGGGCTACCGGACACTCCCCTCGAGCACGTGTACTTCCACGACTCGCGGGCGCGCTCGTCCACGTCGGTGCCTCCGAACGCGGTCATTTGTGCGTCCCACTGCTCATGTGTCAGCGATGGAAACGTCGCTTGAGCAAGACTCTTGAGCTGCGCGACGACTTGAACGGGGCTCAGATCCTGTGTCGCCCTGTTTCGGAACCTACAATGCAGTCGGTTCGTGTCAGTCTCGCGGTAGCCATCGTGCAAGCAGGACACCCTACAAAGTCGACAGACGGAGAAACATCGTACGTGTCTTGGCGTGCATAGACCGCCTCGAGCCAATCGATGAACCGTTCGTCTCCCAACGCCATGGTGATTGTGAAGGCAGCTTCAGCCGCCACGAAAGCGTACTGGTGGTACGGCAGCGGGAACAGCACGAACCGAATCCGCAGGTCATCGGCCTTGTACTGCTCTGCCAGCTTCTTCAGCCCAGGGTACGCGGACTTGCTGTCGGGACACAACTGCCACAAAAAGAGAGCTCGTAAGTCGCAACTCGAGTGCTTCGGAGCATTCGTTGCAGCTGCTGCTTACCAAGTCAATGTACGACTCGAGTTGGACACCAGCGTTTGCGCTGCCATTGCCCAGCGTGAATCCCACAGGACGTCTCGGGACCGGCAGAGCGTCCGATAGACTGCACAGAGCTGCAGACAGAAGCAAAAGGGGAACGATGCGTGTCGACGGCGCCATCTTCGCGGAAGCACTTTTGACTGGCTTTTCAGAAAAGAGGAAGGGGACGTGAACGTTGGGATTGTGATTCCGGTAGATCGGCCGATCCATCCAATGAACGAACCAACGAACGAACGAACGGACGGACGGACGAACAGACGAATTGGATTTGCCGACCGCCTCCTGCTTTCGTCTATCGCTAACCCATACTCGAGTTCGTTCAATGACGTCCATGCTGCTGCTGTGTACTGCCGTCTTCCTACTGCATCTCAGCAAGACCCGCGCCGAAATACCTGTGCCTGAGGCACCGGCAGGTTTCACGATCGGAAGGGGAAGTGCCAGTGCGGAAGTCCAGCTCGAAGCGTTCATTGACCCGCTCTGTCCCTTCAGCAAGGCCGCGTACAACGGAGTGAAGGCTTTGGCGGACCACTACGAGCCCAACGACGTTCGTGTCAAGATGGTGGTGTTCCCGCTCCCCTTCCGTCAACACGGATTCGCGGCGGCTCAATCTGCTTTCGCTGTCACATCGGCACTTGGTGACGGCTTCTTCGCGCCGTGGCTTGAGGCACTGTACGAGCACCAAGAACGGTAATTGAATCGCTTGTATTGCTGAAAGGGTATTGCACAGCAGTTGTCAGAGCAACAAGTGCTAACTGACGCTGTTTCGCTTTGGATATGTAGCGGAGCTACACAGTTCCTTAATTCAGAGGAAGACTAAACGCTCTTACGAGCAACTTCGGTTCTACGGACCCGACTCAGAGAGTCAACAGCTCAGAGAGCTAAGGGTTTAGTTCAATGAACCCGACTCAGAGAGTCAACAAGCTGAGAGAGCTTACGGTCCCCGTTCCTAAGGGACCGAACGATCAAAACGAATCACAGCACGGAGTGATCAGGAGCAGCTACGTTAACAGGTATTGCTAGCTCCTACCGATCAAAGACGCCTCGTAAGGCACGTGTCTGTTAGTGATCAAAAGGGGACCTGACTTTTTATGTCTTTATTAAACCTAAAAGAACACCTCAGAACAACGTATTAAACCTGCCCTAAATAACCTCTTAAAATATCTCGTAATCAATTGATGACAGACATCAGTCTTCAACAATTGAAACACTCACTGTGTTCGAAAACTACTTTATAGGGTACCCCCTCTCTTGTGTGCACCACACCCATCTTCGACTACCATCCGACGTGTAACCCCGTTACACCCTCCCCCACCAGACTGACGTTACCACAAAACGTCAATCGGCTTCTTTCCTCGAAGAGGTCGGTGTGTGTGTGTGCTTAACCTCACGGTTACTAAACACGAAACACCATGGCATTGCCACCCAACGAGTCTCGAAATCTGTCCTCTTACCTCGACTTCGATGAGGATGTGGACTATGGTAGTGATACCAGAGTCTATGGAGATGACGGGATATCGTCCCACTCCGCTGTACCTGAGGACCGTCCTCTAACAGCTCCGAATCCATTCGTTGAACGTGGTGATACCACCGCGCCAGTGGCGCAGCATCATACAACAGATGCAGATGAGAATATCATCACGAACCCGCTCGACAAGCAACAGGGGCTAATTCTTCAGCGTGAGGAGAAAGCTCGACGCCGAGCGCATACCCAGGCGGTTCTTCAGAACCGGAGTGGTTACGTGTTTGCAATACCTGACGTGGAGCAACGTCTCCGTCAAGCGGAAGGCCGTAGCCTCGCAACATGGGCAATTGCACCAGAGGATACGTCGCCGGAAGACATTGCATTCCGTAAGGTTCTACATGAGAGGTATTCGATCATTCTTTAACACGCAAGGTCAGTACATTGCACACCTTTAGAGTCTCTTTCGTGGTGTTTCGGTTCGACCGATAAAGGGCGTGCCCATCTTGTTGTTCGCTGGCGAACTGCCCGAGGAGGAGGACAATCAGTTCATCCGTTGGGTGTACCGCAAGCGGCACCTTAGTAGTGTGCCAGCGCTGCTGGCCAGCGCCGATGTGGCTGACGTTCGTCTAGAACGAAAGCTCCGGATCGAGTATGCCAAGCTCAATGCCAGAGGCCAGTTGCGTACACGTACACGTTATGCTCCGGCTACAATGGTAGCCACGGGTCACGACCCTAAGGGGCGGAGCAACACGCTACCTCCGACCACTATTGGTGAGAAGCGTTCTCGTTCGCAAGGCGACCCTGGCCACGATGTTCAAAAACATCCACGGCGTAAGTGCAGTAATGCCGAAGGGGTATCTCATACTCCCACGAGTTCTCCGACTCCGGGTTCCCTCGCCACTTCACCAGATACTGGTGTTGACCCTGACGACGACGACGTTCCAGGAGTCTCTCCACATGGAACTGGTGGTTCCCTTGCTCATCGAGCAGCGTCGGTGGTGGTCGGTATACCGAAGAAGGAGCATGAGAAGGTGCTCCGTGTGCTGAGTGGTCTCTAAAAGACATTGGATAAGACCCAGAGTGCGCTCGACGCGATGCAAGCCCGTGTTCCAGCATTGGAGTTGGCCTTAGTCCGTGTGGATGGTCAGCTTGACCTCCTGGTTCGGATGCAACAGCCGACGGCAAGGCCCTATTACCCGGCGCAAGCGCCTTCGAGTTCACATGGGACGGGTCCCGATACGGCTTAAGTAAGCCCACGTAGAACGCTGGGTGCGTGCGCAGTTTGCGCGGAAGGTTGATCGTATACGCAAGTCCCTTCTTGGCGACGAGCGTGAATGTTCCAATGAAGCGCGAACGCAACTTTGTCTTGAACACAGCAGACACTACGTTTGTAGGTAAGTTTTTAGAATTGAGTAGAACTTGGTCTCCGACCTCATAACGTTCAGTACAACGTCTGCCTCTAGCATCCGCTTGTTCCTTTTGCTTGGCTTGTCTTTCAGCCAGTGCATCACGTACGTGTCGTAAGACATTCAATCGCGTTGCGAGAAACTCGCTTACCTGTTTTTGAACAGTAGCAGGGCTGATATCAGCAAGCCGATCGGCAACTCCTCCCTCAGCAAGCCCTGAACCACGCAGTGGTAGCGTTAACGGAACGCGGGTGTGTGTGAGACCATTCACATAGAGCGGTGTGTAGCCAGTGGAGGCATGCACGGCGTTATTCAACGCAAACCCAACGACAGGGAGCATCGAGCTCCAACGCTTAGGCGTTTCAGCGCAAACACTGCGCAAGATGTCACCTATGATGCGATTCACTCGACTCGGTTTGACCATCGGTCTGCGGATCATCCGCTGTGGACATGTCCAAACGTGTGCCGAGCACCTTATACACAGACTTCCAAAACTTCCCAGTGAAATTGAGGATCTCTATCAGAGACAATTGCCAACGGCAAACCGTGTTGTCGAAACACGCGATCGATAAACAGCGTATCTGTACCCTCACCATCAATGGTATCCGGCACCGCCGCTAAATGAGCCATCTTGCTCAAACGGTCAACAAAGACCACAATACCCATATTTCCATACGAATCTTTCGGTAATCCAAACGTGAAATTCATACTGATGGACTCCCAACACCCTTTGGGTACAGGCAAACTAGCCATCGGCGCGGCTGCGTGAGGTGAGGGTTTCACCCGTTGACACGTTTCACACCTATGCACATATGTGCTCAACCATTTGTGCGTTTTGGGCTACCAATAGCATTGGATAATTGAGCCGTAGGTCTTCTCACGACCGAGATGACCAAACAACGCATTATCATGTGTCTCATAGAGGATCCAATACTTCAACTCCTCATCATGAGGAACAACGTTGCGAGGGGTATCCTCCACATCCGTGCTATAGCACAACAGGCCTTGATCGATGGTATATCGATGTAGCCTCGCACGTAATCGTGCCGACAATTCTATGTCTGAGTCCTTAAACTCCTCTCTCCCTAGAGCACGTAGCAGAGCTACACACTGTTCATCCTTGGCATATGCCGTACGGATTAGGTCCGTGACCGACGACGACCGAGTCGTAACATGAGCAAGCTCATAGTCAGGCCTGAGTGACAACTCATCAGCCAAATCATTCTGCTTGCCCGGCTTATACTTCACCTCGAAGTTGTACTCGGCAAAGAAGGAAAGCCAACGAGCCATTCTCTGAGAGAGGTGAGGCGACTGGGTCTCAGTGCGTAGTGACGCATGATCTGTATAGATAACAAACGGCTTAGATCCAAGAAGATGAACTCTGAATTTGACGAGAGCATACTTCATTGCAAGTAGCTCTTTGTCATGAACAGTTAATCTCTTTTCTGCAGCCTTCAGCTGCCGGGACTCAAACTCAATGACGCTTTCCTGTCCATCAGAATCTGTCTGTAACAAGGCGCTGCCTATGGCAAAGTCAGATGCGTCACAGACGACACTAAAAGATCGATAAGGATCAGGTAAAGCCAAGATTGGAGCATGAAGGAGACTCTCCTTTACTGCTTGAAAGCATCATGCTCGGTGCTAGTCCAGCACCATTCCACATCCTTTTTAATGAGATTGGATAATGGCCGAGCCATGTCTGCGTAATTCGCACTGTATTTGTGCAAGTAATTGGCAAGGACAAGCCACTTACGTAAGTCGTTTTGGTTCTTTGGAACCGGCCAATCAAATTTGGCTTTTACCTTAGCGGGATCCGCTCTAAGGCCTCGCTTACCAATAAAGCACTCTAAAAATGATATCTCTTCTGCACAAAGATGCAATTTGACGCGTTGGCGTAGAAATCATTCGTGCGCATGCACTCGAGCACCGCTCGTAAATGGTCAATGTGATCGTCCACATCTGACCGACCGTTCATAGCACGACTATGGACAAAGATGCCATCAAAGTACGTCTGTGAATATCCTCGGTGAGGTCTGAACAATTGTGTCACAAGACGATTAAATGTAGCCGGGGTATTTGATAACCCTTGCGGCATAACAAGCCACTCCCAGAGCATACCGCTTGGAGTGCTGACCGCTGTCCGCGGAATATCGCTCTCTCGCATGAGCAGCTGGTAATAACCATCGACTAATTCGAGCGCACTGTACATGGTACGTCCCAACATATTGTTCTGAAGAATATCCTTCCTCGGAATTGGTGTCTGAGCCGGGATGGCGGCCGCATTAAGCTTATTGTAAGCATGAACAATGCGCCACTTCCCATTGGGCTTTTCGACACAGAAGGTCGGTGTAGAATGGGGAGATTTGCTCTCACGTACCATTCCTGACGCGTGCTTTGAACGAAATAATTCGTTAATGACGTCACACTGTTCCTTCGGTAAAGGCCACTGCCGTGTTACGCAGTATTTAGTTCCAGGAACCAAGTCAATTGCATGACGTACACCTCTGTCGGGAGGTAAGACGGACGGTGGGTTGTGACACACCACGTTCTGAAACTCCTTTATCAAAGGATAGAAATGATCAAGAGGATCCCTAAGGATCGAAGATCCACTACGGGCATCCAGTGCCACCCTTGTGTCTTCAAGGACAGACTCGTCCAATAACTAGGATGAGTTCAACTCAATATCCGGCCGAATGACCACCAACTCGGATAATTCTCCTGCCTGTAAGGCTTGGATAAATTCGCCGTCAGACATTTCGTCTAGGTCAAAGAGAGTATCCAAGGAGGGAAGAGTCTCAAGAATAATGTTGCCATCAATCTGTCTAGTCAACCTATCGATAAGGGTTTATAGTGTATCATTACTATTATCACTTCGTGACGTCTTAGACGTTGGGTGCTTAACAGTTGCCACCCGACGCTGGGATTGTTTCTTCAAAGAAACCTTACGCC